TTTTGAATATTTTACTCTGCGGTATACCGTGGGTCGATTTTTTTATAAATAAAAATTTTAAATTTTAAGTTGTATTTGTTTTGTTAATATTGTATGTTTTGTTTTGTGTTTAAGGTTGTATAATTGTATTTTGATTGTTAATTTTAGGATTTTATCCGTGATATACCGTTCTTTATTAATATCGATCCAAACCCATCATCCCATATAAATCCGTCTATATTATCACGTTAGCTAAATTATTAGTGTTATAAAATCCAAGAAAATAAATTATTATTATTATAAATCCAATAATTTTAGGATCTCACCCGTAGTATACCGTTCCTTGAATAATTTTAAATTTATACTACTAATATATATTTTAAATTAAACCCGTCTATATTATCCCGTTAGCTAAATTATTAGTGTTATAAAATCCAAGAAAATAATTATTATTATTATAAAATCCAATAATTTTAGGATCTCACCCGTGGTATATCGTTTCTTGAATGATTTTAAATTTATACTACTAATATATATTTTAAATTTATCATATAAAGTATATGATTTATGTGAATATTTTGATTATTATAAATTAGTAGTTTTATTGCTATGCAAAATGTTAATATAAATATTTGCTATAAATCGGTTTTATGCATATTTTGTGGAGTAAAATTCATGAATTTTTTTTTTAAAGATATATGGAAAGATTGTATAGAGATTTTTAGAAACAAATTAGGCAAAATATCGTTTGGTTAATATCTTTTATTTAAATTTTGTAAAACTAAATAATAAATGTCAATGGCATGGACTCGTAAATAAGGTGGAACTTCAGGATTTATTTCATATTTGTACTTCAAAAATGTATATATGAACTAGAAATTAACCCGCGGTACACCGCGGGCCTATAATTTTACTAAATAATAAAATTAATTATTCTTTTTCAGGTTGAGAGCCCGCGGTATACCGCTGGAAATATTAATTTTACATGTTGAGACATTGATTTTAATATTGTATATTTTTAGTAGAGAAAATTGTGTAGTGTATGAAAAAATGATAAATTGTTTACAATAAAAATCTGTCATATTAATTATGATTTAGCGGTAAAATGGAATTTTGAAATCTTGGTAATGAATGTTTTAGGGGTAAGGAAAATACTATGTTTTTAGGAAAACATATACTTAGACACGCCGCACGCGTTTGTATTAAACAGATATCAAAACAAAAAAAAGAATTAAAATCGTAGAAACATTACATCATTAATAGAAAATAGAGAATACACAATGAAAATAAAAATTAGATTGCTCAAAAACTGAAGCATAGATGCTGAGATATCAAAACAAAAAAAAGAATTAAAATCGTAGAAACATAACATCATTAATAGAAAATAGAGAATACACAATGAAAAATAAAAATTAGATTGCTCAAAAACTGAAGCATAGATGCTGAGAGAAGTTTGTGTGGATGAATGAAAAATGATTTGCCGAATAGCAGAGCCTATATTTATAATGTTTAGAATTAGGTTGCTTTATTAGGGTTTTAAGAAAAGCATATTCTGCAAAATATTTTATAAGTAATTAGCGTAGATATGCTATAGTTAATCGAATCAGAATATCTAAACGAAATTAATTTTAGTTTCTATCGTTAAAGATCTTAACATATTTGATTTGCGCTTTCGCGATTTTTATAATTTTTGCAGTAAACCAACTTTATGACTTTCCATAGTTCAAGATCGTAGAGAATATTTGATGGTTAATCTGATAATTAGAAGATTCTATATATCTTAGCGAAATTTTTTCCCTAAATAACGAAGAAGTTACCATATACTTCGGAATTGTATTTGTTGATTTAATATTCGATTTTAAATTGAATAATTTACATAGAAGTTACCATACAAGTCCGGTAAGGTTTCTTATTTTTGCTGTCAAAAATACTCATATATCCGATTATCATTATTTCTATCAAAAATACCCAATTTATTAACTACATTTATTTTATAATAATTCAAAATAATATAAATATAACAACAAATAAAACTGAAATGAGAATTATATAATTCTGTTTAAATTAGGTCAAGAGATTGTAAAAAATTAGCTCAAATTTGTTAATTAGCATTAACTCATCATATTTTATATTTTTTTCTGTAAAAATCGTGAAGAATATATGTCATAAATAAAGAGTTTAGATATAGAAATAGTTAAAAATATAGATATTTTTAGAGTTTATAAATTAATTTCGTTTTGGATATTACCAAAATTTAAAGAAAGATCCAATTGAATATTTTTGGTCACAAAAAAAAACCTACCCATAAAGATTAAAATTTAGGATTATAGTTATTTCAAATTTTAAACTAATTTAGATTTTATAATTTTCATAAATACGAAAATAATTTGTTCACCTATATCAGAAAATATAACTAAAACAAATTACGTAATATTATATAAAAATTTAAAATAAATAACTATTTTCATTTTATGGTGTAGACAAATTATTATTAGTATTTATGTAATTTAGTTTCAAAAATAATTTAGAAAAATAACAAACATTAAATTTTATAACAAAACAAATTATTTTCGTAAGAATTTGTCCCCAAATTAATATTTACAAAATATTTATTTTAATCTCATATTCTTTCTATATAAAAATAAGTAGTTAGATAATTATTGGTTAGAAGTAGTTAAGGTAAATAACAAATATGGTTAGTTTAAAGATATCATATATATATATATATAACAAATAAGATTATTTACCATTAAAATAGGTAACTTATTTGTTTTATTATACGCATATTCTCTTAAAGAAAATTAATAATTAGGTGTGGGGAGAAGTTATGGAAATTAACAAATATGAATTAATAAAGGAATTAATTTCGTTTTAATATTGCCATAAATTTTTTCAGTTTGAAATTAATAAAGGCTTCATTTATTAGTTTGAAATTAAGACAACATCCCTAAAATTGCTTATCCAAAATCCGAATAGATTAAAACCGGGTCAAACCCGGATCCAAAAGACTTTTTGCAAAAATCCCCTGTAAAAATGTATATGTAGATACTAAAAAATTGTTAATGATACTCTATGAGTACCAACTATGTGCATGTTCTTAGGATTTAGGTATTACATCTTTAAGGAGTAAAATGACTGGGTTCCGACTTCGAGAAGAAGCAAAGCACTAGTCCGTCCCTCTAAACGCATCTCTCACAACAACATCTTTTCTTCTTGGAGGTTTCATTGAATACATTTTTTCTTCTTCTCTATGTTGTGTATATTCTGATTGTAACTCTTTATTTCTGTGGCATAATAGATATGATTATTACATTCATTGTGAGGTGGAAGATTTTGACATGTTAGGAGTAGAAGATTGGACAGTACAAGCAGGAACAATCCGTAATCAAGGCACCTACAGTAAGTAAAACATTACACAAACATATTTGACTACACTATTGTTGTTAATCACATATGTGAACTAACTTTTTTGTCAGGATTTTTTGGTAAGAACCTTAGACCATATCTGTGCTGGCACAAGTCCAGCAAGTAACTTCAAACAAGTATCTCCACAACTGAAAATGAGCTTTTATCCTAGAGACTGGAAAATTTTATTAATTGATAGTGATTATTAATTTATCGAGTATTAATCCATTAAGTTTTTTTTGTACAAATTATTCACAAGTTAAACTTCAATTTACAATTGTGGTCACTTCTTTTCTTCACCTAATCTATTTGGATGTTGTATAACTGCTAAATCATGTTTACAATCACTGTAAATTTACAATACATCATAACAAATTTATATATTGAAAATCAACTTAAAATTTGTTATTGTCTATATGCAGATTTAGTTATAGTGAAATATCATTATATATAAAGCAGATTCTAACTAACTTTGCTGATATAATAATCACATATTCATTCATGTTAACTTATTTTTATAATATACATGTATATATTATTATATATTATATCCTTTAATCGCGTGGTTCTGATATGGTGATTGATTCTAATGCTATATACTTAAAAAACTAGTTTAACTGTTAGAAACTGATCTCTGATATTGCAAATGCTTTTATTGCCATACAATCTAGTCCACAAAATTTGCATAATCTGTTTGGTCTATGATTAAATAATACTCTCTCTGTTCTTAAAAAATTGATTTTCTAGAGATTTTACATATTTAAAAAAAAATCATTGTTTAATTATTTGATAATTATTTATTTACAAAATAGTTTTAATAAATATTTATTTGTTATTGTTCACCACATCGATAAAGAGATTCATGTCTATTACATTTAGATTTTAAGGGAAACCAAATAATCTACAAATAATTTAGCCCATTTATTTGTAGTTGTATCCAATCCCCCATAAATGGGCTAAAGTCCACAAAACATAAATTTGAGCATCTTCTTCTTTACAACACATTCAATTTCATTTTGTATTTAAGGATACAAGAAGGCTATTTTGATCCTCCGACATATAAGTTGTCATTGTTATTGACTTATTGCCAAAATTTCATTAAAAAGGTCCCACGGGGAAAAACCTATAACAGAAATAAAACGGTTGATCCCAAAACGACACACACATGATCATCGGAGACAAAACGCACCCAAAATTATTTCCTTGTTCCGATAATCACATAAACCAAACTAGCTTCTGAGAACAATCTTAAGTAAAGATTACAGTTAACGCACAGATTGTATCCAAGTATTCTCCAATACACAACTTGAAGAAATCCAAGAAGCAACGGTTTCTATAGATATAAATCTAAGATCAAGCCACAAACGCATCCGTAACCATTAGAATCATGGAGCTCAGCTATCAAATCCCTAATCTACTGGTTCTATCTCAAATTCACTCTCAGTGAAACCAAAGAAATAAGCAACGATACAACAACAAGAAAGATACATAAATCTCACCTCCAGAATCTCACCAACAAAAAATAAATTTGAGCATACAAAACGATCAGTTTTATCAAATGAACTTATATAACTTTTCCACGTATAAAAATTAGGGAAGAAGAAAAAATAAATTTGAGCATACAAGAATATTGATGTGTAAATTTTTTATATGTTCAGAAATATTCATTTCTACTCAACTAACTTACATTCTAATGTAATTTTTTTTCCCAACCATATTATAATTTTGCAAATGTTGAAAGCAACGAAAGCTTAACCTAAATTCTCAACACATGTAAGTTTCTTGCGGTCAAAGGAATCATCTGAGAGTTCTCTTTCCCTCTTTTCTTTTAAACCCGAGTTGCTGCGTTTTCTCTTGATCATGAGCATCTACGTTGTGATTCTCTGCTATCTCCTGGGACCTGTGAATAAGAAAAATATAAACCTTTAGCACGAAAACATAGTAAGTTGTCTTCTCTTTTCTCCTGACTGAACTATGATGTTTGATCATCCACAGTGAGAAACAGAACGGTGTTTACCTAGACCTAAACATCTATTTGGTCCAAGGAAGGAGCCTTGTGAATCAGTAACAAATCCCAATTCGTGCAGCACCACTCTGGCTCGAATATATTCGTTTAATGGAAATGCAACAGTGGGTCGGATCTGAAGAAAAACAAAAATTTAACTTACATGAGAATCTTTTGTTCATGCAAATGATCTTTAAGAAAATGTTGATGATTCAACTAAACACCTGCTCTATTCTCAAACGAGCTTCTGTTCTCTCATTCTCAATGCTTATCCGTCTCTGTTCCTGCAGATTCTGTTGAGCATTTACGGCTTGATTCTCTGGCATGTCCTGAGAATAAGTTGATCCGAACCATAAAATCAAATGAGTAGTCACAGTAGAAAATAACAGAGTGTAACTCTGTTCTCTTTTCTTCTAGAACTCTGTTCCATCATCCGCAGAGAAACATAATTAGGTCTTGTTTCAGTTTTTTTTTTTTAACCTGAAATCTCTGTTGATGCAGATTCTCTTGAGCCTCTCTCCCCTGCCTCTCAATGCTATCTCTCTGTCTCTGCTCCTGCAGATTCTCTTGAGCTTCATGGCCTCTTGGATCAGGCATTTGAGAATCCGGAACAATCTTGGACTGAGAATGAACAACAATATAAGAAACTGGTAACTATTATGGAGATGGCTTCACACCTTGAAGAATAGATATTTGATGAACTTACCTGATACATAGGTTCTGCAACATTCCTGTCCATAATGTGTTGAAATATACAAGCTGAGCCGAACTTACAAGATCCTTTCAGAAAATACTGCAACGAATACTCCAGATTCTTGTTTAGCCCTTAAATGAACTAGAACAAGCTGTGTTACTTTTGCTAGATGACCACATTACAAAACTGCACTTACCTTACAAATCGGCGCATCAATCCTCACCTGTGGACGTTGATTAGGATGATTGTAACGGCAACTACTTCCAAAGCGACACAAACCAGTTTTGATGTAACACTGACAGTTTTCTACACCGGGACGAACTGGATACGGACTCGACTGCGTCATCCTCTCTAAAGATCATACCAACAACATAAACAACACAAGTCATATAATTCTTAAAGAGATCACAAATGATGATCAAAACCGTAGATCTTCTCTCAAAGATTTGAAACTACCTTTTCTTTTAGCGGAAGATGGAATCGACGACCCAATGGAGCTCTGTCTTTGTTCTTGAAGATTCTCATCTTCGTCTTCCTTCTCCTGAGAAATTCGTTATCGTCTCTGTTTTTTTTGAAACAATCCATAGTTAAATGAACAGAACAAGTTCTTGTTTACCTTGGGTTCTTCAATGGAGATCGACTCTGTTTCATCGCTTCTTCTCTCAGATTCTTGCTGATTCTCTCGAGCGTCTGCCATTAAAGTCGAGATTAAGTTCTCCTCGTATCAGTTTCTTCGACTCTCTTTCTTCAATGCCAAGAATCTTCTCTCTATTTCTGTTTTTGTTTCTCTATTAAATCACAGAATGGTTTGCTTCTTTAGTTTTTCGGCGGGAAACTGTTAGGGCGTATTTTTCTTTTTCTTTTTATCTTCAATAGCTATTAATATTCTTTCGTCTAAATTCTTTTTTTTTTTTTTTTTTTTTTTTAACCAAAAATCGTCTAAATTCTTTATATTTATTTTGTTTCGTTTGGAATCCAAACTTTGGATACAACAGTTCTTTTGTTAAAATATTTTGCAAAAAGTTCCATCACTCGTTTAATCAAAACTGAAAACAACGAAAGCTTAACCTAAATCTTCCCAACACATATCAGTTTCTTGCGTTCAAAGGAAACACAAATCAGTTTCTTGCGTTCAAAGGAATCATCTGAGAGTTCTCTTTGGTGGTCTCGTAACTCTGTTTCCTCTTAAACTCCATCTCCCTCGTTTCATTTAAATCCGAGTTCCTGCTTTTTCTGTTGATCATGAGCATCTACACTGTGATTCTCTCGAATCTCCTGTGAAACCGAAACAATAAATCAAATGACAAGTCACAGTAAGAAAACATAGTAAGTTATCTTCTCTATGTGTTGTATCATCCACAGTGAAGAAACAGAATCATGTCTTGTTTCAGTTTTAAACCTGTAGTCTCTGTTGTTGCAGATTCGCTTCTTTCTCTCTCCTTTCTTGCATGATTCCCCTCACTATTGCATCGATTAGAGGTTCCATATCCTGCCTTTCAATTGCTCGGTTTACCATCCTCTGCCTTTCAGTATTTCTTTGTATCTGAAATTGCGGATTCATGATCATATATAGAACAAAATAACAACAAAGTAACTTTCTTTATTTATACCCCTTCCTCTAGACATTCAATAAACCCTAGAAATCCAAACAACCTTAAAAAGACTTGGAAATTTTGTTGTATAGAGAAACTAACAAAACAAAGAAAACAAACCAGGGCATCAGAATTCTGATCTCTTGTTCCAGCTTCAATAACATCTGTTAATTTTTCTGCCAACTGTGAATCCAAGACATTAACAAGGTCGAAATATTAGACCCCAAGGAGAAGAAAGTGATTCATTAACTTTTTTGACTTTGTTTCTTACCGGATAGAGATTAAAATGAGAAGCCAACAACTGGTGTTGCTGCACAGATTGTTGTTGCTGTGTTGTATGGGATTGTGGTCTCTGCATCTCTTCTTCTTGTTGTTGATGAAACTGTAAAGTCGAACACAATCGTTGAGGTCGATGTATAAGCAAGTGAACCTCTCTCGTGTGGCTATATATATATTAGAGATAAACATGAAGCTTTCATAAGCCTAAAGTGATATATTAGACCCCTATATTTACGGGATATTGGCATATCCTAAAGAGATTTAGTTCCCTATGCAGATTATAAGTTATCTCGACTCTGTTTCACCCACTAGTATAGAAGAGGATCAGTTTTTTTTTGGTACCTGAACATTGTCTTGAGCCACTGTCCCCTGCCTTTCAGTATTTCTCTGTATCTGTTTTTGCGGATTCTCATGCTCTCGAATTTCCTACGATATATGTTTGTTAGAAAAGAAAAATCAAGGATTCAAGATAATAAAACAGAATAACAACAAAGTCAAGTTCTTTATATGTACCCCTTCTTCTAGATATTCAAATCTTTCTCTTGAATAACGCTTTCCGGAATCCACACTACTTTTTGCCTGAGAATGAATGAGTATTCATATGAGTAAACAGAAAATAGAAAAGAAGACATTTTAGTTTACTTACCCTCTTCTCTGGCCTGAATCCTGAGTACTCTATTTCGTGTCTCCTATGAGTTCTCTCATCAAATCTCCAATCCTAAGAATCAAAATCATACGAAAACGTTAAATCAAATTATTATGGAGATGGTGTCTCACCTTGGAGATGAAGTTACCTGATACATAGTTTCTGCAACATCCCTGTCCCTTATGTGTTGAAATTTACAAAATGAGCCCAACTTACAGTATCCCCTCCGAAAATACTGCAACGAATCTCTTTATAATCAAGTAAAGACTAAACCAGACGATAGCTCTTAGATGAAGTTACAAAACTTTACTCACCTTACAAATCGGCATACCAATCCTCACCGGACGCTCCTATGTTTGAAAGCAGTAAGCCAAGAGACAACCTATAGACTCAGCCAAAAATGGATAACTTTTTTTGTTTCTCACCTGTGGAAGTTGAGTAGGATGATTGTAACGGCAACTTCTTCCATTGCGACACCGCAGACACCAACACTCTTCACCGGGTCGCACTGGTTCGTGTCTCCTCTGTGTTCTCTCATCAAATACCCATTGGGATTCACTCCCTCTCCTATCCTGAGTTCTTTCATCAAATCTCATTCTGGATTCACTATCTCTCCAATCCCAATCCGGAGTTCTCTCATGAACCCTCCATCTGGATTCATAGTCACTATCTAGCCAATCCTGAGTTCTTTCATCAAATCTCATTCTGTATTCATTCTCTCTCCAAATTGGAGATCTATCCTGAGAATCAAAATCAAAGGAACACGTTAAATCAAACAAAACATACTGTGTAAGAAGTTAGTTGCTTTACCCTCCCCTGGTGCCAGAATCTTGACTCTGTTTCACGGCGTCTCCTATGCATCCCCACCACATCTCTCAGTTGTCTCTGTTGTGGCAGACACTCTCGCGTGTCTACGGTAGAGTGTTTGTAATCATGAATCTGACCCGCTTCGTTTTTTCTCAAAACCGAGTCTTCTTTACCCTGAGAAATTCGTATCGACTCTGGTTTCATCATAATATTTCACTACAAAGAACAAAGTAAATTGTTGTTCAGTTTCTTTACCTTCTTCTCGGGCAAGGATCTTGAATCTGTTTTCTGTACCCTATCAGTTCTTTCATCAGGATGTGTGCCCTGAGAAAAAAAAATTAAATAAAACGTTTAATCAACACATCACCATACGCAAGAAGCATAGCCATCTTTCTCGACTCTTGTTTCATGGCGTCTTTTACTTCTCCTCAGAATTCACAAGAAAACCCAAACGCCAAATCAAATGAGAAGTCACAGTAAGAACATCGTAAGTTGGATCAGCAGAGAAAGTTCAGTTTCTTTTTTACCTTCGTTTTTTCAATGGATCGCGACTCTGTTTCATGCCTTCTCCTCCGCATCTCAACGTCTTTCAGTCTCTCTTGTTTCAGATACTCTCGTACCTCTTCATCTCCCTGGTTGTAATAATATACATGATGACCTGTGTCGTTTATTCCAGATCCCAAGTCTTCATTCTCCTAAGAAATTCATATCGATTCTGGTTTCATCATAATAATCCACTGCAAAGAACAGAGAAAGTACTTGTTCAGTTTCTTGTTTTACCTTTGTTTCTTCAATGGATTTCGACTCTTTTTCAGCGCTTCTTCTCTGATTATCTCCAGCGTCAGCCATTAAAGTTGAGAGTAAGTTCTCCTCGTATCTGTTTCTTCTACTGTCTTCTCCAGCTTCTTTCTTCAATCTTGTTTCTTATTCCGCTTTTGTTTTCTAAATGCACATCTTCTCTGAAAATCAAATCAAAGAACGGTTTTTATATGCATAACTAATGACTCGTCAGTTTTCACAAGAAAGAAAATATATTTGCATCTTGAGTTTTTATTGGCGGGAAAAAATTTCCTGGTATTTTATGGATTTAATTTTCTTCAACAGCTACTCTGTTATGGGTTATATGAAAAATTAAAACCAACAACTGACAAAATAATAAACGTAAGAAATATAATTTCGAAATTCCTTTTTCTTTATACCACTAAGAAAATTACGAAATCATGTACATTTGATACAATTCCGTTTCAACAATTCTGAGAACTAAAAGTGCATCTTTTTACAGTAAAGATAGATCAGAAGCTACTAGAGGTCATGTATATGACTTTCCCTTTGAAGTCTCCTCTTTTTCCCCGGCGAAGCTGACAAGTAAAACTGTGAATCTCATACAGTATATCGACGTTTAGCATCACGATCAAGAGTCTTTGCATCCTCCTGCAAAACAAATTGGACAATTCACAATAGGCACAAACCTATGTAGTTTAGGAGAACAAAAGGATGTTGCAGAAATAATACATGAACTATAAATCCGATTGTGTCATTGTAGCCAAGAAGTTCCTTCCACTGCTTCCCAATGCTTAGCTGCAGCAAACACCGCAATAAGATATCAATCAGTCCCCAAAAAATATCTACCTTAACAAAACCAAGATCTGGCCATTATTTAATTGAAGCGAAGAAAACCCAATTGCTACAAAAGTAGGACAATGTGTCAATGTCCACGCGTTTTAATGAACGAAACAAGGATTAGATGAACTTAGAAAACTAGAGACCTCAGGAAATTCACTAACTACATGTTGTGTTTCCTCAAGAACAAGTCCATGTTTTACCTGAGCCTCCTCATTTGCAGCGTTCTTTGTCCATAGAGAGATCCTGTCCCCTCTGGCTCTGAAGTTCAAAACTGCCCCACAAATCTCATCTCCTTGGTCAAATTGCTCACCAACCAACGCAAGTAGCTAAAACAAGGAGACAAGAAACATCACAAAGATGCATCAAACAACCAGAATGGCCAAGGGAAAAACTACAATGAACTCCTGAAAGTTACAACAAATACCGTGTTAAGCCAATTGGATTCTAGTGTAGCTGCTTTAGGGAAAAACATAGTCCATTTTCCTCCATTACCACAGATCGGATCTTCCCATTTTGGTTCAATCTTATGTTTGAAGCAGTAGAGATCCGCCCCTGGAACCCACTTGGTTGGAGGATGAATGTTATTGTATAGACTGCATCAAGTAATCAACAAGCAGAGCTTTAAAATCATCCATAACATACACATGACACATTAAGCTAGAAAGAACCAAACTAGCTTCTGAGATGGAAAAAATCTGAAGTAAGAATTACAGTTTACGTACAGATAGAATCTAAGTATTCTCCAATACACAACTTGAAGAAATCCAAGAAGCTCAGCTATCGAATCCCTAATCTACTAATTCTGCCTCAGAACTATTTCAAATTCACCCCAGCTTAGATTTGTTCTCAGTGAAACCAAAGCAATTAGCAACGATACAACAACAAGAAAGATACATAAATCTCACCTCCAGAACTCTTCGATAGTAGCGAATGTGTACAAAGATCTCAAAGAACTTCCCCATGTGACTTGATTCGATTTCGAGGAAGGATTATCGAACCAAAAGGTCCAAGAATTCTGGAAGCAGTGCGATTTCTGGATTACGGTGGTTGATTTCTTCGACGCGTAGGCATCGTTCTTTTTCTCCTTCGACGGAGATTTCTCGTCACCGGAGATAGCCTTAATCGCCGGAACATGCTTCTCTTGACGGCTAGGGTTCGTCGCGGTGTTAGGATCGATGTTCTGATCAGCCATTATCGCCGATACCGAAGAATCAACAACCACCATTTTCTCTCTCGCTCGCTCGATCAGTTACTTTTCCGTTCGCTCCGTCGAGTCCGTTTCTAGTTACAGACGGAGATGGGAGAGAGAGAGGAGGGAAAAAGAGAGAGAGGTCTCTAATATAAAGCCTAGTATCGGTCCATTAGGTCCATAAGGCCCATTAAGAGCCCAAAATCAAATGCGCGGGGTTTTTTTTTTTTTTTTTTTTTTTTTTTTGGAATAAAACAGCGACAAAAACAAAGAGAGACCTTGGACTCGCGTAACGGCAACAAGTCTCTCTTTCCATCGATATCTGTGCGCTTTCGCTTTCTCCTTCTTATTAAGCTCTCGACATCTCTCTCTTAGGGTTTAAGAGACTATCTTCTAGTTGCCAATACTGGATCTCTCTGCACAGTCACGCCCATGGCTTCACTTGTTTCAAGCTCCTATAGATTCCTTGGAAATGGTAAGGTTCGCTATACTAGAGTTATTTTATTTCGATAGTGTAATGTGGGTTCTGATCTCAATTTTGTTGCGTTCCCTTGGGTTTTCTAGTTCGATTTTTTAATGTTAGTCGTTTTATCTATGTGGGTTTCTCGATTGTTAGGGTTTTAGCTTCATAATCTTCCTAAATCATTAATTTTAGGTTTTAGAATGTGAACGAAAATGGTTTTGCGTTGGTGATTTTGCCCTGTTCTTTTGGTAGGTAGTATTAATTAATTTGAAATGCGTTACGTATTTGTTGATATGATTAGTAGAAGAAGCTTGATTTTGCGATTTACCGGAAGCAATAAATCACAAAATTGGCAAATCTTAGGTCCTCTTGTCATCTAGGCAACCACTCAGTTCTTTAAGGAATCTGAGCCTTCGATGAATAACTCGATTTTAGTTTTTGATGTATCTTTACTGTAATGGCTTACCATATCTCTAAAGCTTAATGTCAAAATTCCCCAATTAGCTGTAGTAACATGAAATTTTTGATGAAGTAATTTAGTGTGGCTAAATCTAAGTCCGCTATTAAGCATTAATCTTTGACGAATTTGAAGGCAGTGACGACGAGTTAATAGGGTTTTCTCTTCTATTCTCAATTTGTTTTAGCTGTTGCATTAAGTGTGTAATCTTGTTTTGGTTTTGCTTTGTTCGGTAATCATTTTTCTTTGTTGAGAACATTTTCATATCTTGCATTCTTTTCTCCTGATGTTATAGGTCACCATACAGTTGAGATGTTGCCAAGGACTGATTCAAGGATATTCACCTGGTTGGAACCGGTGAGTTGAGATGTGTTGTTATGCCCCAGGTTGGGTTAGGGAATGAAGCCATTGGTCCGTGCTTGTAGGATAGATGTATAAAAAAAGTTTGATGTCTATCTTCTCTTCCGTTTGGAAATTATTTGGATTCTTCAACTATAATTATTTATGATTCTAATTCAAAGTTTTTTCGATAGATTTATTGAATCATACATATCAATCTTATTAAGATTCTGCACTACAAAGAATTTACTTTGCATTCATCATACATCCTGAAAGAGTCAGATTAGGGTCTTAGGGTCTTAGTGTAAAAAACTATGACAGTTAGAGATCCTACAACATCCATGTAATCAAATTGAAAGCAATACATATGATCCATGTAAGCGTTGTTTTGGCATATGAGTCATGGAAGGAATGCGCTGGTGCTGTCTCTAGGTGGATCATGACCTTGTGAGACTTCTTGTGAATGAGCCTTACCTTGACAAAGCCAAGAAGATGGGAATACCTTCTTTCTTGATTCAGGATTTGACGCCTTCCTTTCACTGACGGCATCCGAGAAACTCCTGAGTTCGTTAAGCCGCTTCATCTTCTCCTTCTTTTGCTTCTTCTTTTGGAAGGAGAGGAAGAACGAAGCCAACACTTTGGTGCCTTGCTTCCCAGATGATGATGATGAAGAGGAAGAAGACGCTTTCTGAAGTTTCAAATGCCGGTAATGTCGTCTGGGACAGCTCCTGGTGATTCTTATCAGGAGATTTTTACAACGCCGCATAATCGTCTGATTAAATGTAACTAGTGATGCTGTGGCTCTCATCTCGTGCTATTAAAACGAAAGCAAAGAGAGAATGTGTTGCTTTGCGCCTCAGGTGGGTTCTCTTTTGTAGCCATGAATTTGGATATTTGGCAGCAGGTGGGTTTCACGTTTTTCTCTCTTAACAAAAGTTTGTGGGAAGCCATGATTGTGCTTCTTCACAGAGAGGGCTTTTGTCTTCTCTCTACTAGTCTTCACAGACAAAGTCCTCGTACCAAAAGTGTGTTTAAACTAAAATTTGAAAGGTCACAAAAAAAAAAAAAAAGAGGATATTCTGTTTTCAGTATAGAAAAGGGCAAATTTTCAATTTTGTTTACTTTGTCGTTGTTGGCCTAAGGCATTGATTCTGATTTCAAACCATAGCTCTAAAATGGTGTGACCTGCACAAGTAATAGTGGTAGGTAATACATTGTTAACGGTGTCGGTGACAAAAGATTTTTCCGTAGTAATTAAGCACAGTAAATAAATGAAGGCGGTAATTTTAGTTTATTGTAATTTTTAGTTTATTGTATGATCTTTTATAATCTAATGTGGAAATGTGTTAGAAATGGAAAAGTATTGTCGTTGAATAAAACACAAAATATAATTAAGGGAAAGTTTGAATAAAAATTAAAAATTAAAAAGAAAGGAGGAATCAATAAATAAGACTCCTTATCTCTTTCCTATACGGGAGATTCTGGTTTTGCCCAACATAGTGACAAAAAGGAAAACGCAGTCCACACACACACACACACCAACTCACACTGGAGAGAAGACAAATTTTGAAGTTTGAAGTGAAGAAACAGTTTCATTTTGGGGAGACGAATTCGATTTTTCCGATCGATCATGCCGTCCGGTGCGAAGAAGAGAAAGGCGTTGAAGAAGAAGAAGCAACAGGAAGCGATTGGAACAAGTACCAACAACAACAAGGGTTTCAATGGTACATTTTTCGTAGCTCGATTTTGGTTTCAGGATTCGTTGTTTGCTATGTCGATAGATTTGTCGTCAATGGTGTTGAAGGATTTTAGTATAGTTTCCGCAAGTTCACGCCTAGAATTATCCATTTTCGTGGTTGGTACTAAGGATATTGAGTAGACGGTTAGACAGTGTATAGAGAGATCTGTTTGATTACTGCTTTCAGTATCTGTTTCGAGTTAACATTTCGTACTGATCAAATGCTGGATTGTTTTTTGTTATCATTTTTGGAACAGTAAGTCTTTTTTGTGTGGTTAGTAGTTATTTGTTTGATCTTTAAGTTTGGCAAAAAAAATCTCAGGAAATGATGAACATGGAAGCCAAGATGGGAGGGGAAGTGATAGCAGTTTGAGCTCCCCTGGTTCTCAAGGAAATCAAGAATTTGGGACTAAAGATTCATCTGCTGCTCTATCGTCTGGTGTGGTGAAGGGTGCTGTTAAAGAGGTATCTGGAGATGCAGGTGTTACTCAGGGACTAGGACCGAAAAGTGGCAATGCTATTGTGGTTGAAAGAGTAACGGTTGACAGCAAAAATGTTGTGGGAAAATCAACCAATTCCTCTTCTGATAACCGTACTCACCCCGCCAAAACTGTAGCTTGTGGTAATTCAGTTACGGAAATCACTCCCGTTGTTGATTCTGTCAAACCTGTGGTTTCTCTCTCCAAAGCAGTGGTTTCTGAAAAGAGTGAGCATCTTGAGACCTCAACACACTCAAATTTGGTGAAAAAGACGTCTGAGAAAAATGAAGAGTATCATCCACCTCCGGGACTGGAAAACAATAATAGTAAGGTGGTTACTCTTCCGAGATTTGCTGCTGAAACAAACAAACAAGTAGAGAGTGTAAGAAAATCTGAAGTTCCAGTATCCCCTGAGGAAAAGGTAGCATCTCTATTCTCATTTTTGCATCATGTACATGTGCTTTCGTCTCTTTTCAGTCCGCTGAATCGTCTGGATGTATGCAGCGTCTTTTGCTCCCTGGTCCACCAGCTGTCCGAAAGACTTCATTTCTAAGCTGCTGCGGTTTGTTTGATGCTTTGACAGGATCTGATAGATAAACACAGGTTAGTCTTGATTCTTTGTAGATGTACTTTATCTGGTTGAGGCTCCTGATTACTAAGAACTCCCATGGCCTCAATTTTTGATATTTTTCCGATGGTTTCCTTGAATTCCTTTAATACTTCGCTGAAACTATTTCACCTAATTCTCTAAACATTTAGTTGGTATAGTAAGAGAGTTCATGGAGTTAGCATCTTGAATCTTGAATGGCTCTTCAGTAGATTGTTTAGCTCAGAGTTTCAATCAGTTTATCCACTTTGAAACCCTTCTCCAAGAGGCTTGTTCTTCTGTAGTAGCTATCTAAAACACAATCAAATTTTTGAAGAATAGAATGATGTGCAAGACACAATTATGCATCAGAACATGGACTTCAGATTCCTGCGAGACTATGTTCTAGTCTAGCTTCTCATTTATCTTGTTTGCAAGTCTAGTTGATTGCTATTAACCACCTTGATGTTGTTTATTTGGGTTGTCACAAAATCTTGTAAATATATCAATTAGCTTGTTCTTGTGTGAATCTTTTACAACATTGTCTATTATGTTAAACCTGTGTCTGCTCTGCATTGTGCTCCAGAAGAGCAGGAGCTAGGTGGATGCGCTTGATAGCCAAAGCTTAAAGACAACCGAAAAAATAGGATTCATGGTCCGTACACTCTTCTCTGTACATTATGTCTTTGATAGATAATAATGTGGTCGGCTTTTAGCAACATACGAGAAAGACCAAATATCCTAAACAGGGTAAACTTTCTTTTTATTTTTTTGAAATACAATCTTCTTTTGTTCATTAAATGGATTTTAGAACATGAGACTTTATATAGTTCCATTTTTTTTTCTATCTATTATCTTTCTGTAGTTCATTAGATATATATAGAGGGATGACCCGAACCAAGCCTTAAAAGTTTGATTTTATTCCATGAACACAAAGTGACACACACAAAACAAGATCCAATCCTTTTGTACATAAAGAATGCATGAATTTATCTTAAGCTTCCTATGGAAATAAATCACACACACAAATACAAACGCTCACACACACAATCCCGAGTTTCCGATGATTGCCACAAAAGGAAGAAAAAGAAACCTGACACCATGATTCCTTAAGGTCTCCTCACGCCATGAACTGCTGCGATGTAAATAAGCTGGGTGACTGAGAGTATGATCAAGAACGCCTCCAAGGTTCTCTACAGAGAAGAATGACAGAAAATGGGATTGTCATGAAACCAACAATGCTTGGCTTTCCAAATTTGAATCTATAAGGTTCGAGATAGAGAAAAGTCTCACCAGTTTTGCATTTCGCCCTTGTAGCTCGATTTCTTTCCAAGCGAAACTGTTGATAAAAGGAATGATTAGTCATACTATCCATGTCTTTGAACATGATGTGTTTGCTTGTGAAACAAGAGAGTTTACCCCATGGCTAGGACTGTGAGGGTCCAGGCAATGGTTGCAGCTGTGGCTGCAGCTGGTAAGCTTCCCATGGTCCACGAACGAATGTGGCTAAGGCCCGAGATTGTGGAAGCCGCACCAACCACTCCCGCTAGCAACGCGAATATCACAAAGAATCCTGTGGCTGCGTTTCCCATCGGGAAATAAATTGGGGAGAAATGTGCTGGAAGCTCTAAATTAGGGCCTGCCCAAATTTGATTTCACAAGAACTCGAAATGTTAGAAGTTCAAGAACAACAAGAACAAATAATTGCGCCAAAAGCATACTAATTCGAGAAACGGTAAGGAATCAGAATCGATAAATCTGAATGTCAGCCGAATTCTTACCGACTTCGAATCCATGGTCGATGGCTCGGTTCATGGCCCATCCTCCAATGCCTAGAACGATCACATACATGCAGAAGTTCAAAACCAGAAGTCCAGAGGCAACAGGTTTCATTTGCTCACCCGCCATTTCGCCTTTTGAAAAACTACGAAAGCGGGAGGAAGAGAGAAGAAAGAAGAATGAGGAAAATGAAGTTTGTTCTTATGATTGGAATGAGGCATAATGAAGCCACATTATATACTAACTTGCATTGTTCTTTTCTTGTTAAGGCTGTTGGTAATAAAAGAAAGGTTTATTAGAGAGTTGTAAAGTTCATAGCTTCAAGTTCAAGGCAAATTTTATTAATTAAACCAAAGATTCTTGGCTTTGCTCTTTGTACATGTAGAAAGTATTGTCCAATTTTCAAGAGTTTTTTAAGATGTTCTTACAGAAGACAAAAGTTAGATTCTTTACCAGTTTTATGTCTCCTTATTTAGCTTTTTATCCAATTGGGACATGGTATTTATTCTTAAACAATTCTCAACGATTTAGTATAATTTCAGAATTTCTAGTTGGTACTTTTATGAAATATCCAAAATTTAGCAGATTAAGATTAAGTGATTAGCTACTAAAACAGAGAAAATCCAATATTTACGAAAAGCTTAAACTGAACTTAGTTTTTTTTTTTCCTCAGAGAATAGTAGTAATGTTTGTCTTGTATAAAGTATAAAAATATCTGAATCTTTTTACAAAAAAATCTATCTTCTATGAAGAAACTCTAAAATACAAGCAATTGTTGAGTACTCTGCTCTTGTTGTTGCAAAGAACATTGTAAAGAACACTTAGCACTAGAGATTGACATCAACAGAGCCTTTTCTGTATCTTTATCCATTCTTCTTTTGATCAGTTTGATTAGATACTCCAAGAAAACCGAATCGAATGGCAACGTGATTGGTCCTTACGTGGAGAGGCCAAACTCTTCTTCAGATATCTTCAAGAGCTCTTGGAAAACAGAGTTGCTCAGGTAACTTATTGGAAACGCAAAGCGGATTTTATCGGATGTGTAAACCACAAAACAGCCTTTCTCTGCAGGGGTTGAGCTGCTAGTAGTAGCTACTGATCTCTCAAATGAGATTCTCTTTCTGCTTAAGGCAGCTCTCTGTTGCCATTTCTTGGCCATCTTCAAGAGCTTCTTTGTGTTCATCATTATATCTAGAGAAAAGATTTTTTAGATTGGAAAACGGAAGAGATGTGCATATAACTCTTTGAATGCAAGTTGTGGTTGATGAAGAATCCAATAGGTTTGTTTGATTATATATAAGGAGAAACTATTAGAGTTTAGATTCACTTCAGAGCAACCATACCAGATCATAAGGGGTCCCAAAGTTAGCAACCAATCTTGTCTGCTCATCAACATGTGGATTAGAAACCTCTTCTGAAAAGACATGACCATGTGGATATAGGTATGAGTCTTATACAATAGTATTACAATTAAATTTAGACACAAAGACATGTGCTAGTGAATGAAAGATGTAGAACTTGTAGGACCTTTGATGTTCTCAGAGAAGTTAAGGACTAGAATGGGAAATGAAAAGGAAAACTAAAACGTCTAAAACCTTTTTTCATGAGAATCTAACAAAAGTTGGGAAAATTTTATCTAGAAAAGATTTCAAATCCTTGGAAGAAAATAGGTTTTCAAAGATGTTACAAAGACTAGTCATTAAGTTTAGTCATCGAGTTAATCTTGTGTACTATATTAGTAGTGTTACTTTGTAGTTCTTGTGGTTGCAAGGAACATTGTTAAGCGCATCTAGCACTAATGATTGACATTATAAGAGGATTTTTTGTGTCTCCATTCGTTCGATCAATGTGATGAGATATTCCAAGAAAACAGAATCGTAATGGCAAGATGATTTGTCCACCAGTCAGGAGGCCAAACTCTTTCTTCAGAGATGTTCAAGAGCTCTTGAAAAACAGAGTTTCTCAGTTAACTTATCGGACAAGCAAAGTGTTCTGTATCCACCATAACAACCCTTCTCTATACCGACTGAGCTGCGAGTAGTAGTACATGATGTTTTCCTCTTTAGGGCTGCTCTCTATTGCCATTTCTTGGCAAAAAATAAAGATTTGTTAGCTGTGATGTAGAACTCTTTGAATTAATGCAAGATATGTTTCCTTACGTCTTCACATCTGAAACACGGTACTGATTCTAAAACATTCAATGATTTTATGCAGGCTTTTTGATTCAATCCCAGTCCAGTGATGCTTCTGTATCTTACTGATAAGTTCAAGTAAGCGTGGTTGCTAGAGAAATTTGAAGAGCATCTCGTTTGGACTTCAATGAGTTTTACATTGCTATTTGGCTAAGCACTATCAAAGTCCCAACAAGTCCTTATTGGAGTATCAAGAGTTGCTCCTGTTGGTATCAGAATTCTTATGTAATTTTACAGTAACTTCCATCTAAGACAAAACAGATCAAGACCCAAACCTGTATATGAGAGAATCTTTCTATTGATATTAAAAGATGTTAACAGAGTTACTTCTTTTACAACTCTTTCTATTGATGATATGAAACAAGAAAGCAAGACATTTTGAAAATAATGTAGAGAGAATTATTCTCAAACTTTCTCATAGATACCAAACATGTTCTGTTACACTTATATTAAGAGTGCAATGAGCACACTCACACAAATTAAACACAAAACTGTACTCGGACTCGGACTCTATCTAAATTATCACTGGATTATCACACTTGTTGAGCTATGACTCTGATTTCCGCTCTCAGCAGATTGACCATTCTTTGTTATCTGCAGGGAATGCTGCTCCATACTATTTCCTTTTGTTGAGCTCTGACGATGTTTCTTTCTCGTTGAATCTTCATCAGGCCATGGCGTTTTGTTCTTTTCCAAGACAGAGTTAGTGATACCATTGTAGTCGCTTCTTGACCATAAATTGAACATGCTCAAGTGATCAACTTCCTCTTGAATGAATGTGCACCCAAGCTGTTCCAGTTCTCTGTGATAGTTGAGATGATCGTCAAAACTAACGGTTGCTACCATCTGACAAAGAAGACGAATTATTACATGAGAACTCAAAACAAATTACTTGTTACACAAGAAATAACCAAAAACTTTATAGTGAATTGAGATTTTGTTGCTTACTTGATTTAGAGCTAAGCGTGCATCTATTCTCTGCCTTGTGATGTCGTCTCTTCGATGGTCGATCTGCCGTTTGTTTTGGATTTTATCTTGCGCCTTTGCGATCAAGTTTCTCAAATCAATCCCATTAGGCTTCTTTGTCTCTGTTTCGTGAAGACACTCTTTCGAAGAAGCTGTAATTGATTTCTCCGGTTTAGTAACCTTTGTTGTTGTAATAGCTCTCGTATCCACCCGTTTGGTAACTTTCCTCTTAGTCTCCTGCTTTGACTCGGACACTGATGATTTGTGAAGACTCGGTGTCAACGTCCTGCTAGATTTCGCCTGAAAGATTAAAAAAAAAAGTAAAAAACATAAACAAATTAGAAACTCAATCTTATTAACAAAAAAATCAATAAATCTTTTACCCTAAATTAAAAAACAAACAATTTGTTGAAATCTTAACCAAAATATATCTTAAAAAGAAACAATTGTTGGAAACTAGGGTTTCGGAAGACCGACATACCTTAGTAATTGACACCACTTCTTCGATGATCTCCGTTTGTCTCTTCGTCAGTGGCTTTTCTTCGCCGAAATGTTGGCGTTTCTTTGAAGCCGCCACAACGTCGTCGTACTTTTCCCTGCCATCACTTCTGGTTCGACTCACAATTTGTAGGTCGTCTAAGTCTATCTTAGGGTTTATGGATAACAAGGAGACGTCTGAGAAATCGAATGAATTGTACCTGACGCCTTTGGTTTTGTATCTCTGATCCTTGGGAAACAAATGCAAAGCGCTCCTTGTCGTAGAAATCTCCATGGCTCTCGCTAATTAAGAATTATATGTTAAAACAAACACAGGCTTCTCGATAGAAATATAGAAGATGATTATGAGATGAGCTAGATGAGAAGAAGCATCTGACACAAAACCCTAAGAAAGTCTTTGGAACCAAGTTATATATCTGTGATCAGACTTTTATAGTCTTCTCTTCTCTTTCTCGTCAGCATTAGGCGTCCAGCTGTGTAGATATTTTTAATCAGATTTTTTTTTTTTGGTGTTCATTTATTTGGATTTAATTATTTTCCTTTTATTTTTCTTGTTGTAATTCGTATGATAATTAGAGTTGTTCAATTATTGTTTTGATTTATATTTTTTTAAGTTTCATTTACGCTTAAATACTTCATATGTTTCATTTTAATTGATGTTTAAGGTTGTTACATATAAATTAAAAAATCATTTTTTCTATTTAAATTAAAACATCATATATCTATATCTATATTCTATATCTATATCTATATATAACAATATTTGAGAAGTGTTTTTGCTGATGTGTCGGACTCTCGGCTCTTGTTGAGTCCTTGATTTTACGTAATTACTTAAATACCCTCTATTAAATCAAGTCGAATATCAACTAATGTTCAATTACATAAATAACCCTAATAAGTGAATATTTGATATCTATATATAACAATATTTGAGAAGTGTTTTTGCTGATGTGTCGGACTCTCGGCTCTTGTTGAGTCCTTGATTTTACGTAATTACTTAAATACCCTCTATTAAATCAAGTCGAATATCAACTAATGTTCAATTACATAAATAACCCTAATAAGTGAATATTTGATATAATTTACATTTTATAAAATTAATAAAATTCGTAAACACGAAAAAATAAGAAAACCTAAAAAAAATGGATCGATTGTAACATTTTTTAAAATTAATAATATTCGTAAACACGAAAAAAATAAGAAAGACGACTCTTAATTAATATCTTGTCCATGCCAAGTCTTCAAACCATCATATTGAATTATTGATGCTATCCTGCACCATAGAGTTCAAGCTAATAAAAGAGGGTGTTCTTTAAAATTACCTTGAATTATCTGATTGGATCATGCACGAATAATGAATATAGACTCGATGAAAGTGTATTAACCTCCATTGATCGTAATGAAAAACGTGGGATTTCGTAGAAGGAGACGGAGAATGGTCGTGTGTCTTTCTTTTTTTTTTCTTTTTTTTTTTCGTTTTGTTTTCCGTTTTTTTTTTGTTTTTTTTCTTTCTTTCCCAACCAATCGTTTGTGATAATTATGAGTTAAAAATTAAATTTTCCTTTTTTGATAAGTAGATATTGGCAAAAAATATCAAAACAATCCTACGTATATTCTTTAAATCTGATTCATATCTCTAATAAAATTTTATTTTTTAAATATTTTATGTCGATAATGACGGAAAATCTAAACAAATGTAAGATATAGTAGTAAATCTAAATCGTTATGTTATTATTCCATCTTTATCTTAAAATAAAATGAAACGTTACTTAAAATTAATATGTATAATATTGAATAAGACAATTTTAAATTATTAATTGTTATGATATAGATTCGCTTCTTAAAAAATATATAAATCTTCCTTTTTGTTGTAGATATTACACCGCCTCTTAATTTTATATAAATACCTGGATTGGTAGTCACCTTTAGATCACAACTAACCCCTGTTTTTTTTCTTCTGTAGTTTATTTATGGCTCGATTTTTATAAAAATATTAATGTTGTTTACATTACGTATGATTGCAGGATGAATTTGCATACACAAGTAGGTTTGTAGAGAGAAAGACGTGAAATATTACGGCTCACAATCGGTCTGATTTCAAAGTAGACCACTCAGGTACGGTGGCACCGGCGATGATGGTTTGCGGTCGGATTCATTACTTGGATGGACCGCCCCAAAAAACGTGACCAACATCAACGGTAACGGATGGACCGCCCCAGAAAACGTGACCAGCATCAACGGTGACGTTAATGGCACTCTTTGTCTTCTTTAAGATTAGTGTCTGATTAGGGTTTATGTGTGAATTGAAAGTTTTTGTTTTTTTAATGTGGCGTTTGTAGCTTGGATGTAGCGGTTAGGGTTGCAAAACGGTGGTGGAAGTGAATCGTATCCCGAACGACCGATTGTATATATATTACTTAAGAACGGTGTCTGCGGGTACGGGTCGAGACCCACAAAACTCGAGTTGGTAATCAACCCTCTCTTTCTCTCTGGCTTTGATAAAGTGTCTGTCTTTCTTTTTGTCTTCTTCCTATGTGTTTTTATTTTATTTTGATGGAGTATTTTTGTTAATAGGTGAAAAGTAGTTTATTAGATATCGCTGAAACAGAATCTATGATTTCATTTGTTC